GTATTATGGCTAATCCTGCCATAACCTCCATTTTATGGATTTGGAAACTGAGACACAGAAAAGTCAGATAACTTGCCCCTAAATCACACAGAAACTCACAATTGGATTCAAACATTTGTAGGACTTCACAATTCAAGCTCTTAAATACTCACTTCCATCGTATCTCCTATTCAAACATCTCCAGACTTTCAGTTACAAACAGGACTCAAACTATTTCAGCTGGCATGGAGGCCCTCCTCCATTTAGCTCAGATCGCCTTGCCAGCTCTGTCCCTGATCTCTTTACTCAAACGAGGAGCCTTGTCTTCTATCTCCTTACTTTTCCCAGGAACCTGTCCTGGCGCCTGGTCCCCCTATGTGTTTCCTAACTTGCCCCCATTGAATGACTTATTGTACAGAATAGTAAAAAGAAGAACTGATCCTGTGTGCTCCTTTAGACTGTGGAGCTTCTTTAATATAAGAGCAGATTCATGACATACACTAGATTTTCTTTTTTTTTTTAATTTTTTATTTCTTTTCAGCATAACAGTATTCATTGTTTTTGCACCACACCCAGTGCTCCATGCAATCTGTGCCCTCTTTAATATCCACCATCTAGTTCCCCCAACCTCCCACCCCCTACCCCTTCAAAACCCTCAGGTTGTTTTTCAGAGTCCATAGTCTCTCATGGTTCACCTCCCCTTCCAATTTCCCTCAACTCCCTTCTCCTCTCCATCTCCCCTTGTCCTCCATGCTATTTGTTATGCTCCACAAATAAGTGAAACCATATGATAATTGACTCTCTCTGCTTGACTTTTTTCACTCAGCATAATCTCTTCCAGTCCCATCCATGTTGCCACAAAAGTTGGGTATTCATCCTTTCTGATGGAGGCATAATACTCCATAGTGTATATGGACCACATCTTCCTTATCCATTCGTCCGTTGAAGGGCATCTTGGTTCTTTCCACAGTTTGGCGACCGTGGCCACTGCTGCTATAAACATTGGGGTACAGATGGCCCTTCTTTTCACTACATCTGTATCTTTGGGGTAAATACCCAGTAGTGCAATTGCAGGGTCATAGGGAAGCTCTATTTTTAATTTCTTGAGGAATCTCCACACTGTTCTCCAAAGTGGCTGCACCAACTTACATTCCCATCAACAGCGTAAGAGGGTTCCCCTTTCTCCACATCCTCTCCAACACATGTTGTTTCCTGTCTTGCTAATTTTGGCCATTCTAACTGGTGTAAGGTGGTATCTCAATGTGGTTTTAATTTGAATCTCCCTGATGGCTAGTGATGATGAACATTTTTTCATGTGTCTGATAGCCATTTGTATGTCTTCATTGGAGAAGTGTCTGTTCATATCTTCTGCCCATTTTTTATATGATTGTCTATTTTGTGTGTGTTGAGTTTGAGGAGTTCTTTATAGATCCTGGATATCAACACTAGATTTTCAAAGGATTCCGTGACTCAGAATAGAGTAGGAACCCATCATTAATGATGCTTTATTCCTTATTTCCTTAGGTCTGTTTTTCTTTTCTTTCTCTCTTTCATTCTTTTTCTTTATCAGATAGAAATACTTCTGAACTATAAAATCAATACAGGGGTGGCTAGGTGGTTCAGTGGGTTAAGCCTCCACCTTCTGCTCAGGTCATGATCCCAGAGTCCTGGGATTGACTACTGCATGGAACTCCTTGCTCAGCGGGAGCCTGTTTCTCCCTCTCCCTGCCACTCCCCCAGCTTATGCTCTCTCTCTCTCTCTCTGACAAATAAATAAATAAAATCTTTAAAAAATAAAAATAAGTAAACAAAAGCAATACAAACACATTAAGAAAATATTTAAGAATACAATTTAGTGAGAGGGAGAGAATCTTGCCCCTCCTTTTGCCAACCCAGCCCCCCACACATACCCAAACATGCTGAGCAGCTCCTCTATAAGATTTGGTATATATATCTCCAGACTCCTATGTAATAAAATAAAAATATTCCTATTTGTAACTTTTTACTAGAGCTTCTACCAATCAGTGAGTAAAAAAGTTGAACTTCCCAATTAAAAAATGGTTAGAAGATATAAACAATCTTTTTAAAAAATAATGCATATATTGGGGAAAAGGTGTTAAACCTTAGTAATATATAGAAACAGCATGCACTGTTTTGTCTATTAGAATGGTATGTGCATGTGTGCACACATGTGCACGTGCACACACGCGTGCACGCACACACACACACACTGCTCAGGGCAGGTCATATCTGGAAGGAGCAGACCTTCTCTCCTCCTGCCTGGGAAATGAGAATTGCTACACTTTTACTCTTTTCCTTTTTCTTTGTGTCTTTATTCTGTGGGTTTTGAGTTTAAGAACTTAGAAGAAGTGGAATCTCTCCCAGTTGTCTGCCTCGTGGGTATCATGATTCAAGCTGTTATCTCACTAACCCTCCCTTCTAATTTTTCTTCATTCTAAAAATTTATTTTGTTCCACCTTATTATGTAAGGTAAATGTAATTCCACATTTGGAATTTTGACCATTTGTCTTAAATTTCCTGTCTCCTATTACTTTCGTTCACCTTTTATAGTTCCTGTGTGAATTCTTTTCTCTTTTCTATCTTCCTTTCTGATATTAAGCCTATTTTAGCCTCCTGAATCATTGTATTTTTAACCTCTTTTGTTCTCTTGCTCTCTCATTTGTGTAGTGACTTGGTGATTGTTGTATATTGGGCAGCATGCTCTACACTACAGTGTTCTCAGGTGCCCAGTGTGTTACCCATTTACCTCCTGTAAAGTGATCAGCAAGATTGTGGGCACAGTGCACATGAGAACTCTTAGACACCACCATAGTGGATAAGAGGGTTCTGGGAGGTCATTTGACCTATGATTACACAGTTGACCATGCTGTGAAAGTTTCTGGTCCAGTTCTTTTGGACTAGAAATATACATGGGCAGAGAGCTGGTAGAGCTGAAACTCTGGAAGAGCTCATTTCAGTAAATGCTAATGGGGTACTGTGTCCAGGCCCAGTACAAGCTGAGATTCTAGGCTGTATAAGCACATTATTCATTAGAAGTCCTTCAGCTTGGGGTGCCTGGGTGGCTCAGTGGGTTAAAGCCTCTGCCTTCGGCTCAGGTCATGATCCCAGCGTCCTGGGATCGAGCCCTGCATTGGGTTCTCTGCTCTGTGGAGAGCCTGCTTCCTCCTCTCTCTGCCTGCCTCCCTGCCTGCTTGTGATCTGTCAAATAAATAAATAAAATCTTAAAAAAAAAAAAAAAAGAAGTCCTTCAGCTTAACCTGAGAATTTTATCCATTCCAAAAACATCTTTTCTGGGTATTCTAAATTAGTCAAGAAATCCTTTTTATAAAGCCCTAAGAGGTTCATCCAGGCAGTCAGCAAGATGAAACAACAAACAAAAAACACATTTGCTTGATGTTCATGGACCCATTCCTGGCATTTATAAGCAAATCTTGCCTCCACCCTTTCCAGCAAGATAGGACATACTGTGCTAGAGACGAAGATTGTTGGAAGACTCTGGGCTAAAAGGACAAGGGAGGCATTGAGTTCAGGCTTGGTTTTTAATGTGGGAGCAGGGTGGTGGAATGAGACTGGTGTAATCCATTGAAGTTGCTCTGATGAGGAGGGCACTGGGGTCTGAGGCACTGAGGGTGGCAAAGGGGAGCACGAGGGCATAGGGATTGGGAAGGAGGGGCTGCAGACACGAGCAGGAAATGGAACCCTTCTGTTTGCTACCACTGCCTGCAGCTAGCCACAGCCGTTGCAGACGAGAGGCAGGGGTAGGGTCTACTGAGAGTCATCTCTTGAAGGAACAAGTCAGGAAATACCTTGATTAGTAGCCATTCACTCTCATCCAGCTCACTTGCACATACCTGCGTATTTGTGCGTACTTGTGACACACCACACACTCTTCTGTTCTCTTTCTCCCTCCCTCTTCCTCCCTCCTCTCTTTCTCTCCCACTAAACTCTAAGGGTCTGGTGGCTTCTCAGGCTTGAGAAGCAAATCTTATATAATGCCTGACAAATTCTCTCTACCACCCAACAGCTTTGTTACCTTGGTGACATTACTTGGGCTAGGACTCATTTTCCTTTTCTGAAAGACAAGGAGGATCATTAATGCCAGAGGGTGGTTGTAAGATTAAATAAAACAAACAGTGAAAAGGGCCTCACATGGCACCCTGTGTCTGTGTGCCTTCCTCCAGCACATCACCCATGTGCTCTCGTCCCCTCTGTTCCTATGAGCCCAGTCATTCCTCAGAGACTCAGGCAGCTGTGCACCAGGTACCAGAAAACCAAGTGCCTTTCACACAGTTGCTTTCATTCTTCCTCACCAAACTCTTTGAGGGAGTTTTTTTGTTTTGCTTTGTTTTGTTTTGTTTTTTCCTTTCTATACCTGAAGCTCGAAAGAATAAAAAAAAAAAAGTGAAACAACTTCCCCAAGAGCCCACAGCTAATGAACCATAAAGCTAAGGTGCCCACATTAGTCAGGAACTAGAGTGCTTTTCTGCATAGGTGGCCCCAGCTAAGACTTGAATTTTCAGCCATCTAGCACATGTTGAGGAAAGGGACATTGTCTTCTACTTCAACACTTATAATTTACTAAAAAGTCCATGATTGCAACTCCAGACTGACACTAAAAATATCAGCCTTCTTTGGCCTGTTACGTGTTCTGAATTCTCTCCCCTCACTTAACTCTAAGCTAAGATGCTCCTGGGTTAGAGACCCTGTTTGTTTTATTATAGTTACATCTTCACGCCTTGTTCTTGGGAGAGTGGTGGATGCTCACTCATGTTGTGTAGGTTGAATATATGAATAAATATTTATAAAGAACATCCACATCCTGTAGTGAATTCAATCCAACTATAGTAGAGAGGAGGGGAAAGGGAAACAGAGAAGAAATGTTCCCATCATGCCAAGGTACACACAGACTCTCCTCAATACAAGAGCTTCCCCAGCTACACAAACCCCCTCCATTCCCAGACACACAGACATGTACATATTCAGTTGTGACTATTTTTCAGTTTGTGAAGAAATATGGAAACATTTTTAGCATGCAGCTTGGTGACTTGCCTGTAGTTGTCATAACTGGATTGCCCTTGATCAAAGAAGTCCTTGTTGACCAGAACCAAATCTTTGTGAACCGCCCTGTGACTCCTGTCCGAAGACGTATCTTCAAGAGCAATGGTAAGTTTCTTAACCAATGTAAGATGGCTGTGTTTGATATTTTATGATCTGTTAAAGATGCCTCTGTGACTGTAATTCTCCAACACTCTCATGGAGCAGGCCCATTATAAAATTTTGGAAATTAAAGCTGGATCCTGGATGCCCACAATTCCCTACTGAATACCAAGTATTCAGTTCTTAGAGAACCTGGCAGGTTCTGTCAGGAATTTAGAAGAAGCTGTGTCTCCTGCATGCACTCTGGAAACACTGATGAACAAGTAATTGCATTACTCGGTGATGGCAGAGAAAGAGGCAATGCATTTTCGTTCTCTCTTTCTGCTTCCTGCTCCCATCTCTTCCCCTAGGCAAATCGATGCAGATCTGCTTCCTTCTGCTGCTTATGTAAGTCCCTCTTCTTGCCTCTAGTTCAGTGCTTTCTTGTTAGGGCTGTTATGGCATCTTAAGCCTTCCATTCTGTGTTAGAAAACTTTGGCAAGAATACTTAAAATTGTCATTAATAGATATAAACACTACTGTATGTTGGCTAACTGAACATAATAAATGAGTGAATGAATGAATGAATAAAATCTCTGTAAACCTCCCAAAAATAAAAAATAAATTAAATGTTTATTCAGTTTCTTTATTGGCTATATATATTCAAGTTTTTGTGTTATTTCTTAAGTTACTTTCAGTAATTATTTCTTAGAAAATTCATTTAAAAAAATAATAAATGCAAAACATTTAAAAATCTAAATGGATAACTCAAATCTATTACTCTACCAAAGCACCATTTCTTTCAGTTGCTTCCCAATTCCTTTTTGATATAATCTTCCAACACTACCAGGCACTACCTACAGGCACTACCAACACAACAGTGAGTAGTGCAGATAAAATCTGTGTCCTTAGGTAACTTACATTCTATTCAGAAAGATCGCATCAATTAGCTCTCATAACTTAAAGCATCAGTCTTATTAAGATATGTATAGGATGCATTTATTAGGGGCATCTAACCTAGTCCTTGGATTCAAGGGAAGCTAATGTAGATAAATGACAATCAAGTTAACAAAATGAAGAGGAAATCGGGCATATAGACTAGAATAGAAAAAGTTCTTGAGATGGGAAGAACAACAGTGAACTTGAGGAAGTAAAAGGTGGCCAGTGTGGCAAGTGCAGGGATTAAATGGAGATAACGGAAGGAAGATGGACTTCTTGAGCTTGGCCAGGAGTTGTTCACACAAGTTCTTGTTAAGTGTTTTGGGTTTTATGCTAATAACAATGGAAACTCTTGAATGGTTTTAAGTAGATGAAGGAATCACCGCATTTACGTTGTACATTTTAAAATCTTATGTAGTTTGCCCTGTAGAAAATGGCAGACAGGGAGCAAGAGACTGTGGTAGCATTTTAGGTTAAAAAAGGTTGCAGTGTAGACTAGGGAGATGGCAATAAATGACAATAGAGTAGATTAGACCAGGTTAGTAGTAGTGAAGATTCACGAATTTAAGGTATTCAGGGGGGTAAATCCAATAAGATATGATGACCTGAATGGAGATGGAAAGCTGAATGAGGTGAGGTAGACACCAAGTGGGTAGATAATAGAGAGGAGGAATATTTGGAGTAGGACAGATGTTTAGCTTGGGTGTGGAGTTGCATGGAGAACATCATGAATCCAATCGTGGATATGCTGAGTTTGAAAGGCTTTTAGGTAGGCAAAGCCAGTCAAACAGTGGTGTATGTGTCTGGAGCTCAGGGACAGAAATAAATATTCACTATCAATAGATGCTATTTAAAAATTTAGGAGTTGATGAGGTTTCCCAGGCATGGGGTTTTGGGGAAGAAGAGAAGAGGCTTTATAGCTTATCTTGAAGAACTCCATCATTTCAAAATTTGATAGGAGAGGATGAGCTAGCAATGGATACGGAAAGGAGGAAAATCTGGAGGGTGTGCTGTCCTGAGCACCACTGGAAGAGAGGGCTTCAGGAGAAAAGTGCCTCCTGCTGCTGAAAGGTCAAGAAAGATAAGATTGAAAAGTTTCCCTGGATTTGACAAAGATGGCTATCTCATGCAGATTGTGGAGGCCAAAGTCCAGCACTCAGAGGAGTTGGAGTATGCTCTGGAGGTGAAGAAAAGAAAGGAGGGTGGCCTTATCTGTGTTGTAAAACATATGAATTTTTGAATATAACAAGATTTTTTTTCCTTTACCTTTCCGTGTGCTATTCTTTCTGCATGGAATAGTCACTGTTCCTTGCTTTCTTGAATCATTCCTTATTTTTCAAGGTCCAGTTTAGATAAGACGGTCTTGGAAAGCCTTGCCTCCTTATGAGTGTGTATTTTATCTTATCCATGAGTGCATTCTTAGTATGTAGCATAAAACAAATATTTCAGTATATTTATGTGACCAGTAATCAAAGCATAGCCTTTGGAATCCAACAGACCTGAATTTGAATGCCTCTTTAGCTGGTTACTGTGACCCTGCAAAGTAAGGGTTAAACCCATCTCATAAAGTTTCTGTGAAGTGCTAACTTACATAATGCAGTAAAAAACACTCAGGTCTCTGCACTACCAGCAATGAGGCTAGCCACTATATCTACTACTTTGGGATTATTTTCCTGAATAGTTTTCAAGTGGCTTAATGCCCTTCGTCTTCCCACCAATACATATTCCCATACCATTTGCCATATATTTACATAATAGAGTAAGAATATCATAATGTTGGCTTTTTTTTTTTTTCCAGGATTGATCATGTCCAATGGTCAAACATGGAAGGAGCAAAGAAGGTTTACCCTGGCGACACTAAGAAACTTTGGTCTAGGAAGAAAAAGCTTAGAGGAACGCATTCAGGAGGAAGCCCATTACCTCATCCAGGCAATAGAAGAAGAGAATGGTGCGTTGTTTCCTAGGACAGATGCAGGAGATTGTGACTCATTCATTCACTCACTGAACAGATACTTACTAAGTGCCTAAGTACCTACCTTGTGCACAGCACCATGCCAGGCACTGAGAATATTACAGTGAACAACCAGTCATGAACCTGCCTTCACGGAGCTCTAGGGTTACGCACAAGAAGACTGGTATTAAACACATTACTGATTTTAAACTCTGGTCATTAGTATGACTTCCCAGGTATTGACCGAGTCCTCGCTGTATGTCAGACCCTGTGTAGCGGGCTGTGGTCAGAGCCTCACAGGCAGGTCTCAGCATGTTAAATGTCATGGAGAGCAGACTCTCAGTAGAAAACAGAAACAAGCGAATCAAAGGATTCATCTGTTCTTCCACCTCCAGGACAGCCTTTCAACCCTCACTTCAAGATGAACAATGCAGTTTCCAATATTATTTGCTCGATTACCTTTGGGAAGCGCTTTGAGTATGAGGATGAACAGTTTCAGGAATTGCTGAGGTTGCTGGATGAGGTCACATGTCTGGAGGCATCAATGAGATGCCAGGTAAGGGGTTCTCTTTCTGCATCTTGGACAAGAATACTGGAGCTGATGTCAGACACAGATGGGTTCCTATTAAATATCATCTTTTTGTTTAAGCTAAAGTTATCACCTTTTATTTTTTTTAAGTTATCACCTTTTATAATTGACTTCCACTCAAACTTATTTGAAATCTGTCGACTTTAGTGTTTTTTGATATTATTGGATATTGACTACATACAAAGAACATTTCTAACATGCATGCAAAGAATAAAATGTCTATGTTATATGCCTATACATCCATGTTATTTTATCTAAAAGCAGGATATTGCCACTGCCTTTGGGTCCTGCCCCTCCATGTCCCTCCCTAACCCAGCCACTCTGCTGGCCCCAGAAGTACTCTTCTGTGCTTGGCTTCTCCCCTAGCAGATTGTTTGCAGATTATCTGTGTCAGTTGCTCTTTTCTTTTTAAAATTCTGAATAGTATTTCATGGTATGAATATGCCTCTGTTTGTTGCTCTCTTCTCTATTGATGAACATTTGAGTTGTTTCCAGTTTGGGGATGTTATGGATAGTTGCCATGAACATTCTTGTACCCTTGTTCATGTGGACATGCCCACTCATTTCTCTTGAATTTATACCTGGACGTAAAAGATGCCTAAAGGTTTCAAAAGCAGTTATACTACTTACCTGCCCATCCACACTTGACATTATCAGTCTTCTCATTCCATAGGGTATAGACCTTTGGGGTTCAAACATCACCCTTTCCTTGGTGGACCCTGCTCTCCATTTTGTCCCTCTGGGTCTGTGAGTCTGTCAGAAACTGCTCAGCTTCTTGGTCTCTCAACCACTTTCCTGGATTTGGAAGACATTTCTATGGGAAAAGTGGCCCTGTTAAGGCCACCTCTCTAGTATCTAAGAGTGGATTTATTTTTATTTGTTCCTGACAAGCATCTTTGCCTGGAGCTTTATGGACCCATCGCATCAAAACCAATAAAGCAGTTAGCGTGATTCCTGACACATTTGAAGTATGCAACGAATGTGAGCTATTATTATTGTCAAAGCTATTTTGAATTCCTTGTTCTCATTTCTAGTCACAGCAGTCCCAGTTCAATAATTCCATGTTCTCCAGTCCTCTTAAGACAGAAAGTCATAAGAGTTCAATGGGTACCCAGCTGATGTTCCCCAAGGAAAAGTAATTCCCGAGAGGGTAAGAAGGGGCAGGAGGGTAAGGTTATTAAGTATTTCTTGGAGTCTCAAAATAGGCCAGGCATCTTGATGGACAAATATAAACTTTATCTCAGTTAATTAAAAAAAAAAAAGAAAAAACCCTTTAAAGATGAAATGACGCATCATGGTGTTATACAAGCAGACATGGGAGTGTGTAAGCAAATCCAGATTGTGGTCCACTGGTTTTGTGCTAGGTGCTATATGGATCTCATGTCATCCAACCACCAGAATAATTCCAGGGCCCCACTGGCAGCTATCTAAACTAAGGAGTAACAAATAGTATCATCATCATCATCATCATCATTACCACCAAAATATTATAGTTAAAAAGCAGCAGAGCTAATGGACCTATATCTGTCTCATTTTAAGTCTAGGTGACTTTCCATTTTGTCATGCTCCTTCCTACCAGATATTATTAGAGAAAATATTTTTAAAAGTGCTTTCTTTCAATACAATGTCTTACCTACATGGAGCTTATGTCATAGCAGGGCAGGCAAATACATACACATGAAACACATATATGTATCTTACACACACACACACATATTAGTGATAATTACCATGAAGGAGAATAAAACAGGATAAGGGAATGGAGAGAGGGTGGCAGGGGTGCTTATAGGATCATCAGGTTTTAAGACCTCTCCAGGGTGGTGATATTTGGAGCAGCACTTTCATGAAATGAAGGACTGGAGTTCTACAGATTTCAGAGGAAGAGTGTTCTAGCTGGAAGGAATAGCAAATGCAAAGGCCCAAACAAGAACATCCTTGATGTCATCATAGAGGCCAGTGGTGCTACGCTGGAGTGAGTAAGAGAGAGTAAGATGGCAGGGATTGATAGCAAAGGGGGTGACGGTTGTGTTGGGGAGGCGGGCAAGGAGGAGTTGGCTGGTGCATGCAGAGCTTATGTCAGGAGAATGATTTGGGTCATAGAAAGTCACTTGAGGATTGAGAGCCAAGAAGTAAAATGATCTGACTGAACTATGAAATGATTCCTCTGGCAGTTCTGTGAAAAACAGACTGGGAGTGGGTTAAGAATGGAATCAGTGAAGCTGATGGAGGCTGTCACAGCACCCACGTAAGAAATGTTGGTGATTTGTACTAGGGGACAATATGGCTGGGGCAGTGAGATGTGGATACACTTTGGATGGAGTGCTGAAATGCTTTGCCAGCAGGTGAGAAGAGAAGGAGAGAGAAGAGTTAAGGTGACCCAAGTTTTAAGAGCAAATAAATGAAAGAGATTATCAATTATTTTGTCTTGAAAAATGGGCATCAGATTGTCTCTATGAGTGTTTTGTTTTTCTCAATTAGCTCTACAATCTCTTTCCATGGATTATGAAATTTCTTCCTGGACCTCATCAAACACTCTTTAGCAACTGGGAGAAACTGAAATTGTTCGTTGCTCATATGACTGAAACCCACAGGAGAGACTGGAATCCTGCTGAACCAAGAGATTTTATTGACGCTTACCTCAAGGAAATAGAAAAGGTGAGGGAACCAAACTTGTTTCTTTGTTCTTAAAGAGCAAATGGGGGTATACTAGTCTCCCATTGCTGCTCTAACAAATTACTATAAACCTGGGGTTTCTAAACAACGCAGATCTATTGTCTTTCAGTTCTGGAGGTCAAAAACCTGAAAGCAGTTTCACTGGGCTAGAATCAAGGTGTTGGCAGGGCTGGCTCCTTCCAGAGGCTCTAAGAAAGAATCTTTTTCCTTGACTTTTCCTTCTAGAGGCTGCTTTGATTTACAGCCACTTTGTCTATCTTCAAAGCCAGTATGTAGCCTCTTCTCTGCTATCCTTCTTATATCTTCTCTTTATGACCCCCTTGCTTCCTTCTTATAAAGACTCTTGCAATTACTTTGAATTATCCATAATAATCGTCCCACATCAAGAATCTTAACTTATGGGGTGCCTGGGTGGCTCAGTGGATTAAGCCTCTGTCTTCAGCTCAGGTCATGATCTCAGGGTCCTGGGATCGAGCCCTGCATCAGACTCTCCTCTCAGCAGGAAGCCTGCTTCTCCCTCTCTGCCTACTTGTGATCTCTCTTTCTCTGTCAAATGAATAAATAAAATCTTTAAAAAAAGAAATCTTAATCGTAACCACAAAGTCCCTTTTGCCATATAAGGTAACATCCACAGGTTTCAGAGATTAGGATATGGACACCTCTGTGGGTCATTACTTAATTTACCACAGGGCAGTCAATATAGAGGCAGCCTCTCATAGAGTATAGGAGCAGCATTAACTCAGGATTGACAAGGTAAGTAGAAATAAAGATAGGGGTTGAACGATATTTGGCTTGAGGCCTTGGGGATGCTCAAATACTGCCTGTTCATCTTCTGTTCTCCACGCTTTGCCCATATCTGAAGGAGCTATATATAAAAGGAAAACTAACAAATAAGCTTCAAAGGACTCTTTCATTTTTAGCTGGACCTGTGCCCAGTTGACTGCCCCTTCCCTCAGCCCCCAGCGCAGAACACAAGAAGAGCTAAACTGGATGCCAGAGTTCAAGCTCAGGGCTTAGGTGGGACTTTTGCCTTCCTCCCTGATCGTCCTACCACCCACTTTCCAATATTATAGGAAAGACACAGGGAAAAGCCACACTGGGGGGACTGCCTTTAGCACAGTAACCCCTGTGGTCAACGAACATCCAGGCATCAGTGTCGTAATCTTTCACTCATTAGCTTAGTTGAACCTCCTCTTGGGGTTGATAGATTGGTGGATTTCTATCCACCTCCTCTTTTATTTCACAGTATTGGATAACATTAGTAGAAGCACTGATCTCTCCACAGAGGATGAGACTTTCCTTTCTATATGTTGTGCAGGTATGGGGCCACACATTGAGAGGTCTGTTGACAAATTGAAGCTTCCAGGGGAAGGTGACAAAGATGTTGGAGGGCTGTGAGGTTGATGGAATCAACCTTTCTTGGTTTCACCTAGAAAGGAAGAGATTAACAGGGAAATATGAGAATTGTTTTACATAAGAGGAATTCAATTTATTCTCCTGGTATCAGTACAAGCATGTGTTGAGTATTTGTTACGTGCTCTTTATATCTCATATAATTCATAATGCCATCTTAAAGGGCATGTGTGTTTCATTTCTCTTTTTTGAAACAGGAAACTGAGGTGCAGAGAGATTAAGTGACTTGCCCCAAGGTCATGCAGATAGTTCACAATGATATAGCTAATATTGGAATCCAGGCCTGTCTTTCTATTAAACTGTTTCTCTTTCCACTGTACTAATAGATTCTCCCAAGTTATAGGCATAAACGAAAAAGTTACCTTGATTTTCATCCACCAAAGCCAACAAAAGCTTCCAGCACTTGGGGCAGGAGGATGCTAATGATATTGTGTAATAAGCCTCTACCTCTTGAGCTGGCCAAGAGGGATCTTTTCTTCCATGTTCTCACCCTAGGGTGAAGCCCCTGTGTATTGTAGCAACCAAGAACCAACTGAATAAACCAATAAACATTGTGCTTTCTAGAACAGGGACAATGCTACATCAAGTTTCCATGAAGAAAACCTCATCTATAGCACCCTGGATCTCTTCTTCGCTGGAACCGAGACAACTTCAACAACACTGCGCTGGGGTCTGCTTTACTTGGCCCTCAACCCAGAAATCCAAGGTGAGAGCATGTCAGTGAGTGTCCCTGGGCCAGGACAGAATGGTACCTCCTGGAGCATACTGCCCCCTAGCCGAGGCTAGAAGATAGCATGGTAGAATGAAAAGCTAGGACAATCATGAAGTGATATGGACTTGAAAACGGGTACCGTCTTCAGTTTTTCTGTTGGATTCGGGTGGGTTCACATCATAGCAATATAACAAAGTCCCTGCCCTCAGGAAACTCAGAGTCTAGAGGGGAGGCAATGGGTCAATTGACATTGTGGTGAGTTCCAGGAAAAGACTGACATTCTTACATGAAATCTGGTTACAGCCTTCCATCCTTGTAAGTAATGTATTCTGTTTCCCTGTGGCTAATGTTCAAACTCCTTAGTCTGGCATATCATGCCCTCTGATGTGCCTCCTTCTTCTGTCCAGCCTCAGCTCCACCCACCCTGCATGGTGGTCTCACTAAATTACATGGTTGTTTTTTGGGTTTTGTTTTGGTTTGGTTTTTGGGTTTTTTGGGGTTTTTTGTTTTGCACTGTCCTTATTTATGCCTCTGCCATCAGGACTGCTCTTCCCTTTACCACTTGTGTAGTTCACCAATTTCTCTATATGGCAAATCACCAGATGGCCTTGAAGACATCTGCTCAAATACAACCTCCTCTAAGATGTTCCCCCATGCTTGTAGGAAACTACTTCCTTTAAAGATGACTTTAGTATTATTAGGATTATTTTCCTCCTCTAGAGATGCCCTAATATGCCTCCACTGCTGTGCTGATTGCACATTATTCATGTATCTTCCCCAAAGACTGTTGTCCATTCAAAGCAGTGACGGTTGTAATCTTCTTCTTCTTTTTTTTTTTTTTCCTCTAGGACCCAGAACAGTTTGAGCATATGAGAGATGGGATATTAGGATACAGTTTTTCAAACTGTGGGTAACAGTTTATTAATGGGACATAAAATCAATTTAGTAGACCAAGACCAACATTTTTTCCTAAAATAAAAATAGAATAGAAAAGATCAGAGTACTTCCCATGTAGTAAGGATAAGTTTGTTCATGAAACTATTTCTTTCCATAATTATACATAGAAGTATGTTTTATATGTGTGTATATCTGTGTTTATGTGCCTTCAGTCATGATGTAAAATGTTTTTAGAACTATGAATTATATTTTCTAAAAAGTTGAAAAGCTACCTCATTAGGATATAGATTTGGCTTCTGTAATAGGGTCTCTAAAATAACAATAGCTTAAAATGATGGATGTTTATACCCATCTTCATAGCAACTTTATTCACCACAACTAAAAGACAGAAGCAACCCAAGCATCCATTAATGGAAGACTGGATAAACAAAACTATTCAGACTGAAACAGGAAGGAAATTCTGACACATGCTCTAACATGAATGAACCTTCAGGACATTATGCTAAGTTAAAGAATACAGTCACAAAAAGACATATACTGATAGTTCCATTTACATGAGGTTTCTAGAGTAGCCAAATACATAGAAACAGAAAGTAGAATGGTGGTTTCCAAGGGCTTCAGGTAGGAGAAAATGAGAAGTTATTGTTAATGGATGTACAGTTTCAGTTTTTCCAGATAAAAATTCTGGAGATTGGTTGCATAATGTGATTATATATATATATATATATATATATATATATATATATATATATATAAAATCATTAAGCTGTATGCTCAAATATGATTAATATGGTAAATTTTATGTCACATATGTTTTACCACAAGTTTAAAAATATTTTAAATGGCCAGTGAGAAAGAAATTCACTTTATCTATTTCTCTCTAAAGTAAAAAAGGCTGAGCTGGACTCTGCAGAGCCCTCTGGTTCTAAGGTCCTCCCAACATGTTGCTCTGTTGTATCTAGAATGATGCCCTTGTTTGCACTCTCAAAGATGGCTCACCTCAAGTCCGCTTTCCTCAAAGAGGAAGGGAAGAAGGGAAGAAGGAAATGCATACCCTTCCTTTAAGGATGTGTTTTAAGTATTAAACATCCCTTTTACATAGAGTCTGTTGACCAGAACATTGTCACGTGGTCACACTTAGTCACAAGGGAATCTGGGAAATGTAGTCTATAACTAGGCAACCAGGAGTCCCGCTAAAATCTCTACTATTATAGAAAAAGAAAAAAGAGGAAAAAAGGTATATTGGGGCACAGTTGGAATTTTGTTTGACTTGCTGGGTGCTCACCTAAACTAGTTCATGTAAATCTCAAGATCTCCTTAAGAGGAATGTAGATCATATTCACTAAGAAGAGAAAACAGAGGCTCAAAGAGTTTAAGTAACTTGCAGCAGTAATGCTGCAGAGCAAGAGTTTGCAACCAGATATATCTAAATCCAGGCCCACTTTTCACTCTGAAATACCTCCTGAGAAACCAGAGTCTATATAGTGCCTGCTATAGTTTTAGCCTTTTTTTTTTCTTTTTTTTTTTTTTAGTCATTTTAATCCTGATTATTCCATTCTTCAGCTTAATCAGGCTTAAGGAAGGTTGTGGAATAATAGAATAACAGAACTTTCTTTTCCAGAAAAAGTCCAAGCTGAGATCGACAGGGTGATTGGTCGGTCACAGCTGCCGAGCTTAGCCACTCGAGAGTCCATGCCCTACACCAATGCTGTCATCCACGAGGTGCAGAGAATGGCAAACATCGTCCCCCTGAACGTGCCCAGGGAAGTGACAGGTGATACCACGCTTGCTGGATACTACCTGCCCAAGGTAACCAGGGACTCCCAGCCTCAGATCCTCAAGCCCATCTTTTTAAATGGTAGAAACTGTGACCCATACCCTTGTTCTAGGGAATCCTTTACATGCGAAGAGTGCTGTGTTACACCTGAGATAATACTGGCTTTTTCCCCTATGTGTGGTGTTTGGAACGTTAATTCAACTAGACATTAACAGGTATTTCGGAGGGGAAGGAGGATTCCATGGTCAAGTATGATTAGGCAAAGACCGGCTTTTCTTTGCTGTGGGATGTCTCTGATTTTTGTTTTTTAACCATGTGATGTGCATTATGGATCTTTGTGTGGATACAGCAAGCGGCAATTCTTGGTCAGACTTTGTCGTGGGGCCCTTTGCTTTGCCAGGGTGGAGTTTCTCACAGCACTAGGGACCTGCCAGACCTGGAAAATTCTGCTTCATAATCATGGGGTTATAGAATATTGAAGAATGAAGGGACATTTGAGACTACCTGGGCCAATATCCCATTCATGCTGGTGTTTCTAGCATGGTAGTGCCCACAAGTATTTTTCCGGCTTTTACCTACAGCCCTGTGTGGGGCTGTGTCACAGGGGAAACCAATCCAGGCTGGTGTGATATTAATTATTTAGAAGGGAGAGAAGGGAACCGATGCTTATTAAGCAAGGAGTGTGTGTCCTGGACTCTTGTATATTCTTTCAGAAGGTCTTAATCAGTCCTCAGAATAACTGTTATCTCCACTTAATAAATTCGGAAGTTGAGGCTCCAGAGTGATTAACCTAGTGTAAGAGCTCAACTACGAAGAGACAAGTGTAGAGTTCCAGAAGCAGATCTGTTCCATTTCCCAGGCGTGTCTTTTCTGTACTACACCATGTTCTCTCCACGGGAGCTGCTTTACTTGCCCTTTAAAAGAGTCCCTCTGCAGTTGTTTTCCATTGGTCTCTGTTAAACTCCTATCCTCACAAAGGAGATTCTTTTTTTTTTTAATTCTTTATTTAAATTTAATTTAGTTAACATATACTATATTAGTAGTTTCAGGGGTCGCATTTAGTGATTGATCAACTGCATAGCACACCCAGGGCTCATTACACATCAAGTGCCCTCCTTAATGTCTCTCACCCAGTTACCCCATCCCCTCACCCAGCCCCCCTCCGGCAACCCTGTTTGCTTCCTAGAGGTCACCATCTCTTATGGTTTGCCTCCCTCTTATTTTCATCTTATTTTATTTTTCCTTCCCTTCTCCTATGTTCATCTGGTTTGTTTCTTGAACTCCACATATGAGTGAAATCATATGATACTTTTCTCTGACTTATTTCATGTAGCATTACACCATCTAGTTCCATCCACATTACTGCAAATGGCAAAATGCCATTCTTTTTGATGGCTAATATTCCATTGTTTATATATACTACACCTTTATCCACTCATCTATTGACATCTGGGCTCTTTCCATATTTTGGCTATTGCGGACATTGTTGCTATAAACATTGGGGTGCAAGTGCCCTTTCAAATCACTAGGTTTGTATCCTTTGGATAAACACCAGGTAGTACAATTGCTGGGTTGTACGGTAGCTCTATTTTCAGCTTTTTGAGGAATTTTCATACTGTTTTCCAGAGTGGCTGCACCAGCTTGCATTCCCACCAACAGTGTAGGAGGGTTCCCCTTTCTCTGTATCCTCACCAACATCTGGTTTCCTGAGTTACTCATTTTAGCCATTCTGACTGGTGTGAGGTTGTATCTCATTGTGGTTTTGATCTATATTTCCCTGATGCCCAGTAATGTTGAACATTTTTTCATGTGTCTGTTGGTCATTTGTATGTCTTCTTTGGAGAAAGGTCTGTTCAGGTCTTCTGTGCATCTCTTGATTGGATTATTTGTTCTTTGGCTGTTGAGTTTGATAAATTCTTTGTAGATTTTAGATACTAGCCCTTTATCTGATAAGACATTTGCAAATATCTTCTCCCATTCCGCAGGTTGCCTTTCAGTTTTATTGACTGTTTTCTTTGCTGCGCAAAGCTTTTGATCTTGGTAAAGTCCCCATAAAGCATTTTTGCTTTTGTTTCTCTTGCCTTTGGGGACGCGTCTAGCAAGAAGCTGCTGCCGCCAAGGTCAGAGAGGTAACTGCTTATGTTCTCCTCTAGGATTTTGATGGATTCCTGCCTCACATTGAGGTCTTTCATCCATTTTGAGTTTATCTTTCTGTATGGTGTAAGAAAATGGTCCAGTTTCATTCCTCTAAATGTGGCTGTCTAATTTTCCCAGCACATCTGTTGAAGAGACTGTACTTTTTCCATTGGATATTCTTTCTTGCTTTGTTGAAGATTAGTTGACCACAGAGTCATTGAGGGGCCATTTCTGGGTTCTTTATTCTGTTCCATTGATCTATGCGTCTGTTTTCGTGCCAGTACCATGCTGTCTTGATGATGACAGCTTTGTAATAGACCTTCAAGGCTGGCATTGTGATGCCCTAAGCTTTGGTTTTCTTTTTCAATATTCCTCTGGCTATTTGGGGTCTTTTCTGGTTCCATGCAAATTTTAGGATTGTTTGTTCCAGCTCAGTGAAAAACACTGATGGCATTTTGATAGGTATTGCACTGAATCTGTAGATTGCTTTGGGTAGCATAGACATTTTAACAATATTTGTTCTAATCCATGAGCGTGAATGTTTTTCCATTTCTTTATGTCCTCCATGATTTCTTTCCTAAGTGTTCTATAGTTTTCAGAGTATAGATCCTTTACCTCTTTGGTTAGACTTGTTCCTAGGTAAGTTATGGTTTTTGGTGCAATTGCAAATGGGATCCTTAATTTCTCTTTCTTCTGTCTCACTGTTAGTGTATAGAAGTGCAACTGATTTTTATGCTTTGATTTTATATCCTGTGATTTTTGCTGAAACCCCATTATCAGTTCTAGCAATTTTGGGGTGGAGTTGTTTGGGTTTTCCTCATAGAGTTATCAAGTCATATGCCAAGAGTGAAAGTTTGACTTCTTCTTTGCTGATTTGGATGCATTTTCTTTTTGTTGTCTGGTGCTGATGGTGGGACTTCCAGTACATTTTAAACAATAGTAGTAAGAGTGGACATCCCTGCCATGTTCCTGATCTTGGAGGAAAAGCTCTCAGTTTCTCCCTCTTGAGGTTGATATTTGCTGTGGGTTTTTCATATGTGGCTTTTATGATATTATGTTCCCTCTATCCCTCTATCCCAACATGGCAGAGAGTTTTTATCAAGAAAGGATGCTGTACTTTGTCAAAATTTTTTTTTCCTGCATCTACTGAGAGGATCATATGGTTCTCGTTCTTTCTCTTATTAATGTATTGTATCACATTGATTGATTTGCCGATGTTGAACCAACCTTGCAGCCCAGGAATAAATCCCAGTAGGTCGTGGTGAATAATCCTTTTAATGTACTATTGGATCCTATTACTAGCATCTTAGTGAGAATTTTTGCATCCATGTTCATCAGTGATATTGGTCTGTAGTTCTTTTTTATTGTTATCTTTGTCTGGTTTGGGGATCAAGGTCATGCTGGCCTCACAGAATGAGTTTGGAAGTTTTCCTCCTATTTCTTATCTTTTGAGACAGTTTCAGAAGAATAGGTATTAATTCTTCTTTAAATGTTTGGTAGAATTCCCCTGGGAAACCATCCAGTCCTTGATTCTTGTTTGTGGGGAGATTTTTGATTACTGATTCAATTTCCTCACAAAGGAAACTTTGTTCTCAAGCTGCTCACCAGTCTTAAGATCTCCACCTACAGCTCGGCCCCCTGGTGTCCTCTCTGCACCCTGCACATGCAGTTCCTTTTCTTTCTTTCTTTCTTTCTTATTTTTTTAATTTTTTAAATTTATTTTCAGCATAACAGTATTCATTGTTTTTGCACCACACCCAGTGCTCCATGCAATCCATGCCCTCTCCAATACCCACCACCTGGTTCCCCCAACCTCCCACCTGCCCCTTCAAATCCCTCAGATTGTTTTTCAGAGTCCATAGTCTCTCATGGTTCACCTCCCCTTCCAATTTCCCTCAACTCCCTTCTCCTCTCTAACTCCCCTTGTCCTCCATGCTATTTGTTATGCTCCACAAATAAGTGAAACCATATGATAATTGACTCTCTCTGCTTGACTTATTTCACTCAGCATAGTTCTTAATCAAGGTCTTGGTCGGCTTCTGTGGATCCATTCCAATTTGTCTAGGTCCCTCTGTGTGTGTCTTACCTGGGGACAGAACCGGAGGCGCTTACCCATTCCTATACCTATTCCTACAGCTGTTTCCATTCATTGTTTTCTTACTGATTGACATCTTGTGGGTGAAGGCTGAGGTCTAAATTATTTCACAGGTGCTGTTTGCATTTTTCTAGCAATTCGTTTAGCTCAACAGAGTCATTCTACCACTGATTTTTAATATCAGCTTTAATAAAGACCATGGGAACTAGAAATCTCATTGACTGTATCTTATAGAGGCATGGAGCCATGGCTTTGACATAAACTAGACCTTGTACAAATCATGGCTCTATCTCCTTCCAATGCATGACTCTGGGCATGTCACTTCATGTCTCAGAGCTTAGACTGACTTATCCGTACTTTAAAACTACTCCAGAGGTGGAGATAAAATGAGATCATTCATGTAGTGTTTAGAAAATGCTCAAAATAGCCATTATTTCTTTAGTAATTTAATAAATGTCCATTAAGCATCTAAAATGCCCCCATCTAGGAAAACAACTCTGAATAATCATGCAAATATATACTTACAAACCATGATAAATGCTCATCTGGGAGAACTCGCTGGTTTCCATAAAGATACAGGCCAGCTGGAACCAGGAGTAGAGGGCTTCCAAAGGGAAGTGTTTGAGCTGAGGATTAAAGGATGATTGAGAGTTAGCTCAGTGATAGAGAAAAAAGGCATTCCAGGCAAGGTGAAGAGCTTGTAAAAGGCCCTGGAAGTGAGTAGGAACATAGCATTTTTGAGAAACTGAAAGCAGGCCTCTGTAGTGTGAGCGCAGGTAGAAGGAGAGCGGTCCAAACGGGGGTCAGCAGATGAGTCTCTCAGCTAAGGGTGGTGGGAAGCTACTGAAAGGTATTTAAGATGTGGGTGTGTGGATGGGTGTGGCATCACTAAATCCTGTTCAAAGTTCACTCTGTGTTTAGAGTGTGGAGCAGATCAAAAGGGGAGAGGTTATGGGCATAGGTGGGTAGCTCCTGCAGGGGTATAAGCAAGGCAGCTGGTATCCCTAGGTAAGAGGCAGGGGTGGGCATAGAATGGAGGTGACAGAATCAAGAGACATTTAAAGAAAAATTGAGCAGCCTCACTGAAGAATTGGATGAAGGCAGAAAGAGGGAAATGGAGGCAATACGGAGAACTCCTGGGTTTCTTGCTATGTACCTGGATGGATAGTGGTTCCTTTCACTGATGTACCTATGGAGTGTACCAGACCCTGGAGGGAAGAGAATGGGAGAAAACGAGATGAAGGAGACATCTTTTACCTGGATAGAGCTGCCGCAGTTGTCACTTGCCTGAGCGGCTGGGTGATTTTCATGTGACGGTACTGACTAGCCAGCTGCTGTGTTATTCTCTCATTGATGCAGATATGTCCCTGTAGGAAGATCCCTTCTGCAGTCAATAGAAGCTACACTTCCCTGGTCAAATGCCCTGCAAGCCCATCACTTTAAGCTGTCCCATCACAAAGAGCAGGGGCCAGGGTGGATGGGAGAGGGACTGGGCTCGGAAGACAGTGAGTTGGGGAGGGTGAGGGAGTCCGTGGGGTGTGGTGTGATCAGCCCCTGGTGTGGGAGTCAGGGGACTGCTACTCTTCTGAAGAGGTGTGTTGTGTGGGTCAAGCCTTGCCTGAGTCTTTGCTGCCTTCTCCAGGGGACCATGATCCTGACCAATCTGACTGCACTGCACAGGGACCCTGCAGAATGGGCCACCCCCAACACATTCAATCCGGAGCATTTTCTGGAGAACGGACAGTTTAAGAAAAGGGAAACCTTTCTGCCTTTCTCAGTAGGTGAGTTGTAAACAAATAGGAGTGTCCGAATCCAGAGTCCCTCTCTTAGCCCTCCCCCACCTCTTCTCCCTGCTACACGTTACACAGAACCCACACTAATGGAATACATGATAGTCTGCTCATCATTAACTTAAAAATAAATATAAATTGGTTTTGTGGTCCACTATCATTTTGCTGATGACACTAAGGCTTCCAAGGGGAGGAACTGGAATTTGAACCCATGTGGTATGACCTGAAGCCCCAGGGGCACACCGCCCTGAGTGTACCTGGATAGATTCTGATTAGATCTTCTTTGTCTTACTTCACCTCATTCTATGTCATCTTTGCCCACATTGGACAAGTCCCTCCTAATAGAAAAGCTGCTATGAGATGTAGGAATATCTTCCAGTCTTCTGTCTACAGTAGCTTCAAAGTTCTTATTTCAGTACCAAGTCCCAGCTGTAAATTTCAAGGATTATAATTATTCTTGCCTCACTGGTACTCTGCTATTGAGAATTTTATCATACCCTCTTAATTACAGACTTCATTTGCAAGCATATGATCTCACTTAATCTTTGCAGCAACCCAGTTATTAATAATTAGACAGGAAAGTGAGCTGTATTTCCATTCTTAATATGAGGAAATGAAGAATAAGGGAGTGGTTTCTTATCCAAGATCCTGTGCCCCAGGAATTGGCAGAACAGGGGTCCAAGACACAAGGTTTTATACTTCTGGTCTACTGCTCTCTTCACCACAACTGGAATCTAACTCATCTTCCCACTTAAAGGCCCTTCCACTTTGATTCAGAATTCATCCCACAGCTATCAGTTAACATACGCATGCATAACAGTCCACAAACTCAGTGGCTTAAGACAATAAGTTATTAAAACAGTATTATTGTTTACAAGTCTATAGTTCAGCTAGGTAGCTCTGCTGGGTCTTAGCTGAGTTTGTTTGTGTGTTTGGGAGATCTAGGATGACCGCAGCTGGAACAACAAAGCTTTCCACATTACCTCTCATTCTTTAGCAGCTAGCCTGGTTTGTTTAAATGTTGGTGTTAAGATCCCGAGAGAGAGAATGGAAGCATAAAATGTCTCTTAAGGCTTAGGCTGCGGACTGACATTCTGCCACTTCCACGGCATTCTGTTGGCCAGTGCAAGTCATTAACTCAGTCCCAACTAAGGGAGTGGAAAATACTATAATTTTTGGTGGGAAAGGGTATGAAGTCACATAACAGATGGTGTGAGTACATCGAGAAGACAGGAATTGGAGCCGGTTTGCAGTCAGTTTTATCCCTGTGATGGAGAAGAATGAAATTCAAAGGCGGCAAACAATTTGGGGATTCCCACAGGAGGTGTGACAGAATGCGGGTTAGTTGAACAGAAGAAACAGAAATCTAAAAAATCCAATGAGTTAAGAAAATGTCAGCACACTGTTTTTTTCTTTCCCACCCCACTCCCATCTTTGGCACACAGTTGCTTTTCCTGCTTCTTGGTCTAGCACTTTCTGGAGACAGCCTCCCTGAAAGAATGAGATATGGATGGCCCCTTCTTTTATCTTGGGAAAGAAGACCATGTGCGAAATTACTACTTGTGCATAACCCGGGAATATTGTGAAGCTATTTTGGCAAATTCCTATTTTCTTTTCCTCACTGAAGTCCTTCCAGGTTGATCTGACATGGCAGCAGGCAGCTTCATGAAAGGCAAGAGTGTGGTTCCTTATTTTTCAGATAAGCTCATTTGGTCATAGAGGATGAGGTTAGGAAGAACTTTTCCCAAAACACCTAGGTCATCCTTCTCATTTTACCAGTGAAGTAATCGACCTTGTTAGTTGGTGATAGCCAGGTGGTGGGAGTACCAAGGAGATACCAGTTTTCCTGTGATCCAGGCAGAAGCTCTGAAAAGAAGCAATCCTCATTTTCATGCTTTGAAAAGAAAATTCCTGCTTGTCTTCTTCTTGGTATCATTACCCAGCTGGTCACATGATACAGTTTGAAGAGAGATTATTTCATGGATTTGACAAGTGGGAAAAATTTAGCTCTGTGAGATGAATTTGCTTACTACCCACAGCTGGTTACTGATGGAAACAGTACTTTAACCCTGGTTTCTGACTATCTGGGTCCAGCTTTGTCATCATGAATGGATTCTTCTAGGAGAATCTTAGTATTCACAGGACAGCTGACTAGGTACCATTTTAACAAATTTGTTCATCATGCTATGTGTGATGGGTAAAGAGATAAAGACAGAGGGAACATAGATGAATGAGACACATGCTGGTAGGAAACACAGGTCCCAAATAATGTAATAGCAGCATAATTGTGCTGCACGTTTACATTTACTAAACACTTCTGCAGGTGTTACCTAATTTTATTTCCTCAACAGCCCCTTCTAGGCAAAAGACAAAATGGAGACATGCATACATTAATGAGTTTTCAAGAGTATTTAATTACATGGGAAAATACAGCACATGCAGCACAGAGAATTAACTACAGAGAATTATACCAGTTATAGTGTCCAGGGGGATCCCCATAAGGACAGTGAGGATATATGTCAGAATGTTAACAAGGGTTCTTGTCAGGATTATGGGATTATAACCATCTTTTACATCTTTTATCATCTTCTTTATACCTTTCCTTTTCATGCATTTAAAAAAAAAGTCTATGGTGAATATGTATTACTTAGGAAGAAAGTAAGTTATCATAAACACACATACAAAAGAGATGGCAGTAGTGAAACTGCAGGAGGTTGTTGCAAGGGAGAGGACAGTAGAAGCCTAGAGCGGGAGTCAGAGCACAAGTGAGATGAGGTGGGGTCTTCACAGGGTGGCTGTGGTGGTGATGGGTCATATACAAGGGATACTGATCCAATAAGTAAACCTATTGCCAATAATGGGAGGAAGTTACAAATAGGGAAAGAGAGAAGATAGAATGAACTCTGGTGTTGAGTTGGAACCAGAGGTTATCAATATGAACTCAGATTTCTGATAGGTAGGTAGGCAGATATAGAAATAAATATAGATGTAAACATGGATACATATACATATATTTAAATATATACTCGTGGTACATACTTACAGATTCCTCAGCTCTAGCCGCTGATGTGCACTGAGAGCAACACTACCCTGATATCAGCAAGCATGCCAAATGCCCAGATCTTGGTTTCTAGATATCATTATATCATTATCCACTAAAAGGAACTTGGACTTTAGAAAGATGGCTGATTCTATGGTTGGGAAAGGGGAAGGGTAAGATGAGCCTGAAACACACTGTTATGCCCAAAAGTTAAGGAAATATCAGCTTGAATGGGCAGCTAATAGCCAAGTCTGGAACATCTTGAGCATCAAAACAAATAATGATAACAAATTATAACCCTTTGAATAAAAATAGGAATCTCTGAACTCATACGGATATAAATGGGTAGAAAAGTAGGTATAAGTGAAAGCATTTCCTTTAGTAGAATTCTAGCTAATAGATGTGGAAGGAATGATGGAATTTTAAAGCTCATGACTTGGCAACCATTAGAGTAATTAATAATTTAGCCAAGAGATAGCAATGGAAACTGTGGATGAAAGATCAGTGAGGAATGGCTCATTAACATAGTCTTAAAGTATTTACTAGTTACAAAGAGAAAAATAATCATTTTACAAGGGAAAATTTGGTAGACACCACCTTAATCGAGTGACCAAAGTTACCACCACCAAAAATGGGACAAATCAAAACTGTGTACCACCCAATAGAAGGAAATGAGAACACAGCCTCACTTTGGTGTTACTCCTATCAGAAATGCATGACCTCACGACCTGAATCTAATCATGAGGAAACATGAGAGGCATTTACCAAGTAATCTGTTTGTTATCTTCAAAAAAGCCAGTCATATAGACCTGGTGTGGATACACACACACACACACACACACACACACACACGAATAGTATTCAGCCATAAAAAAGAATGGACTCTTGCCATTTGCAACAATACGGATGGCATTAGAGAGTATTATGCTAAGCGAAATAAGTTAGTCAGAGAAAGACATATACCATATGATTTCATTCATATGTGGAATTTAAGAACAAATGAGGAAATGGAAAAAAAGAAGCGAGAGAGACAAACCAAGAAACAGACTCAACTTTAGAGAAGTCATGGTTACCAGAGGGGAGGGAGGTAGGGGGATGCCTGAAATAGGTGATGGGGATTAAGGAGCAACTTGTCATGATGAGCACTGAGCAATGTGTAGAACTGTTGAATCACTATACTGTACATCTGAAACTAATAGAATACTGCACGGAATTAAAATGAAAAGCTCAGTAAGAAAAAAAAATGTCAGACATAGCAGCTGAGTCGTCACTTGCATGTCAGCCAAATGCAACATTGGACATTATTGGGACAAATAGCAAAATCTGATTGGGGATCTTGGGGACAAAATGGTAGCAATGTGTCAATGTTTGCCTGAATTGGTGGTTATACTGTAGTTATGTCAGAGAATGTCCTCGCTTTTAGGAAATCCATACTAAAGATTTCATAGGTAATGTAGACAAGGCACTTTCAAATAAATAACTCAGAAGAAACAAGTTCTTTGTATTATTCTTGCAAGTTTTCTGTACTTCAAAAGTGTTTCAGAATAAAAGGCATGCTATGGAAAGTATCACAGTAAAGAACTGTAATATGCAGAAAGCTATTTTAGTAATGCCACCATCCAAAATGTTTTTCTTGAAAGGTAGTCTTGTGATGGGCATTAAGGAGGGTACCATGGACTACTGGGTGTTATTTGCAAATAATGAATCATGGAACACTCCATCAAAAACTAATGATGTACTGTATGGTGACTAACATAATATAAAAAAAAATAAAAAATAAAAAATAAAGGTAGTCTTTTCAATTGTATTCTTCCATTTTTTGAGAATTAACCAGAGGAAGTTAATGCTAAGCTATTTTACAGCTAGAATGTTTATTATTATCTAGGTGATGTGTTAAGCTACTTTGTTTTTCAATGTAAGTTATTAAATTCTTTGGTCTATTTGGATTCAGTGTGTAGCCCACACAACATATAAAATAAGGTTCGCATTTTTAGTGTGTGGGTTTATTTGTTTTGTTTTGTTTGTTTTGTTTTGTTTAAGGAGTAGAGGACAGAGGGAGAGAGAATCTTAAGGAGGCTCCATGTCTAGCATGGAGCCCAACACTGGGCTTGATCTCATGACCCTGAGATCATGATCTGAGCTGAAATTAGGAGTCAGACACTTAACTGACTGAACCACCCAGGTGCCCCTAAAATAAGGTTCCCATTTTAAACACACACACACACACGCTCCCCCTGATGCCCAAATCACATGGCTAGAAGGCGCAAGGAGTTGAACTGGATCTCCCTCTGCCTCCAGTTCCTCCCTCACGTAACAAGGAGTGAGATGGTGCCAACTGTGGGCCAAGGGATTTGGCAAGGACCCCCCCTCCCCACCCCCCCGTTAGAAACAAAATCCCCACTGGAGAAGGACTGCTATGTTTAAGGACTATTCAAGGAAAGAGCCTGAGAAAACTCCAAGGTAGAGGGCCATCCATGGCCATGAGATCCACAGTCATGAGGGAGGAAAACATGACATAAGGGAAAGACATCTTGCATTTTAGAAACTCTGCTCTGAAATTTATTGGCTTATACTTTTCTACAGTCCTAAGGAATGAAAAATATTAATCAACACAGAGTTTTTTGTTCTGCTGTCTGCTAATGTTGTTTGCTGACTGATTTTTGAAAAGCCTTTCAGCTAACAGTTCCACTTTTGAGGTCAACCCAGGCCTCCCTCCTCTTTTGTCCTATACCCTGTGACTTCACCCTGTGGGGCAGCTGCCTGACCCCTGAAAGCATTGGGAGTTTTTGAGTCCAGACTTACACTTTGGCCTGGATGGTTGTCAGATTAGATGAGCCTCTGTACATAAAGCTCTGGGGCCTACCAGCCCCTTCTTCTGCTTAGGTTTTGCAAGAAGTAGGAGATGTCAGTCCCAGGTGGGCACCCACACCAGATGGAAAGATGACTTGTCTTATGCTTTTGCCTTTCAGGAAAGCGGGTGTGCCTTGGAGAACAGCTGGCCAAGTCTGAGCTGTTTATTTTCTTCACTTCCCTTGTGCAAAAATTTACCTTCAGGGCCCCCAACGATGAGAAGCTGAGCTTGAAGTACAGAACGGGCCTTACCATCTCCCCAGTCAACCACCGACTCTGTGCAGTCCCTCGGTCCTGATGTCTGAAGTCGTTGGGCAGGGAGAGGAGAAAGGAAAGCAAGAAGTGTGGTGTCCTTGAAGGCACTGGCACCTCCTCAGAAGGGAGGTGGTGAAATGGAACGTGACTCTAAGGGACAGTCATAGGAATTGAACTCAGAGGAAGCACAATCCGAATCCCAGCCTTGCTGTTTTCTCTGATGGAGCCTTGAGCAGATCCGTTATGTTGTGAATGATTAACCTTTTCACCCAGGAGATGAAAAGCAGGTAACGATTCCTCCTCTAAAGGAATGGACTTTGAGTGATTTGGAAACCATACAGCTTATCAGAAAAATTAGAGCTGAAATCTGCCTTTTTCCTGCTTGCTTCTTTAGACAGGGATTTGCTTCTAGCCTGTGGAGGTGGCTCAGGTCACAGTGGTGCCAAATGTTTGATAAGAGCTAGAATTTGGACCCTGGGACAGCCAGAGGCTGACCTCAAACGCTGTCAAACTTGCTGGCACGATCCAAGCTTTATCTTGATCCCACCCTAGAATGGCCCTCTGGGAAGTCAGCCAGGCAGCTAGTACTCCCTATTTATATGCACGTTTCTATGAGGAAGCAGTTTCTGTGGTTTACTTAAGGGAATACTACACTGGCTTTGGAATCAGGACCAAGCAGAGTGTGACCACTACCAATTAAATGCGGGGAACATGTTTGGGAAACAATGTGGAATTTATCTTCCATCCTTAAGAGTATCTGTTTGCCTCAATTCCTCTATCAGGCATCTTTCCTCAAGGATTTAACTATGGGGTGGGTGTGAACTTTTCTGGCAAACAGATGACCCTGGTCAGCTTCTGAATGGTTAAATATTACCAGCCTAAACTCAACAGAGCCCTGGTACAGTATTTTATAGTAGGGAACCAGAAATGCCAGAATCCTGCTCAGTCCTTCTGCATGCAGTTGCTAAGGGGAGACAATGGCCAGAAAATTGAAGGTCAGGTAACACTGATGGTCCATGGAATTTGACGTCAAACTCCAATACAAACAAACACAAAAACACCTGCCAAACTGGACTAAACCGTATGGGAGGTCTTTTTCCCTAAGGTGGAGACCTTGTGTGCTTCTGCCTGCTCCTCTGGAACTCTGCTACCACCATTTAAACAGGCCTGTGTAACCCGATGGAGGATGAGAAACACAGTCCAGTCATTGCTGTTGCATCGCTAGCTGACAGCTGGCCAACCACCAGAGCTCTGCTGAGAGCATCCGAGATGAGCTGGACCCAAGCATATCCAGCAGCTGAATGCCAGACGCATGAGTGATCCCAGCTGAGACAAGAAGTGCCCGGCCGAACCCAGCCTAAACTGCCACCCAGAGCTTTAGGAGTTAAATGGTTATTGTTTTAAGCCACTGTGTTTTCAGATGCACTGTTACACAGCAGTAGCTAACTAATATATTCCTTGAGGGCAGGAACAGTATCTGTCTTATTCAAGAACAGTGCCTGGAACATGATAGGACTCCAAAAATAGTGAATTAATAATATAAGGTAGAATCATTATGGGCGGGTGCTAGATTAGACCTATCACTCCAAATCAGATCTCTGCCACTACCCCTCTGTCCTTTTCACCTGATTCCAATGACCTATTTCTCAGTCCTCATGCCAACTTCTGTTACAATCCTTCAGGAGCAAGGTAGGAGGAGTGCAGGCTTGTTCTTACCTCGCTGTGTCTGTTCCATTTCCCAGGTGGCTTTCTGGAATGGGGCCACCTATTCCTTTTCCCCATGCTTATTTCTTAAGAATAGGCTGATGCCCCTGGATGGGTATTTTGTACTATCTAGGTCACACTGTGTTTTTGTGCATTCACCATCAGCTGTATGTTCTGCTCTGAAAAGCTAAGAACTTTTCCCTCTGCTTTTGAAGCAGAGAAGAAATTAAGCAAGAATAAAGGGTCGAATGCAAAGGCCCACTTTCAGGGGCTGGCATGGAATCGTTGATGATGCCTGTTGCAACAGTCAGGGTCAGAACAGAGGTGTCTCTTAGTCCAAATACATCAAAGGTCCAAAGATATCAGAAGGCTCTGAGATACATAAAACAACATTAAAGATTCAAGGGGGTGGACTGCGGGCCATGCCTAAATTCAGTTCAAGGTTTTACCATTTATTAACTTCTGCCTGTGAATTAAACAGGCTACTTTACTTTCTTCAACTTGTATCCTAATCTGCAAAATAGAATTAAATTATACCTACTTTGGTAAATTATGAAACTGATCAAAAGGGCCACTATCCCTCTCTGGGTTGTCTCTCCTTGTGGTTCTCGGCTCCATGGGACAGTTATGGATAATTGCCTTGATACATCCAAGAATGGCCATGTCACATGCTCAATAAAATAGCAGAAGTTCCACAAGTTCAACATGTTTCTTTTTTCTCTGCCACATGATCAGCAATGTCCCAGATAAAGGTCTGTCAGCTTACATCCAGGTGACAAAGACATAATGCAGAGTCCCAACTGGTTCATGGTAGACATGCAATAAAACAAACCTATTTTGTTGTGAGCCACTAAGATTTGGGGATTTTGGGTTATGCAGCATAAGTTATCCTCAACTGTCTGATACATCAGCATTTTCATTGAGAGGACCATATATATTTGTGTTTGTAGTTACTGTGAATACCAAATATGCATGTGGGTCTCTCTCTATATATACGTGTATATACATATAATATATATACTATATATAAAATGCTACTTTAATACATATTAAACATATACATTTATATTATATATAATAAAGTCACAGTACACTTGGCATGTGATAGATTAAATTGTAGCTGTAATGCTGTTACAGTTGTTTCAGGCAAAAACTTGTGATTTATACAGTTTTTCTTCTAGACGATTTGATCTTTTCCTCGCTGGATCACAAAGCAATAGACTCTCCCTATTAACTACAAGATCATTATAAATCCTCTGATGGGCTGCCCACACTGTGCAACCCCTGGGGGCCTCCGCGGGCCATCTAGGGGAATGGCGCCTCTGCGTGTGGACTGTGCAGGGCCCGTAGGTGTGGGCCTGCTCCTTGGCCGGGTATATGATAATTTTTGTGATCTGAAACCTGCTCGCTTCATCAGTCACATCTTTTAATGTTTCTGCCAAACAAGTGAGCTCCTCTCCATCTCCTAGACAGACTAGGTCCTTTGTCATCGTCATGTGTTTATAGATGCTTCTTTTTTCTGGAAGAAGTATCTCATGACACAGGACAGACCCAGTCTAAATGTCAACTCTTCAGTGACATTTTTCTTGACTCTCAGCCACTTTGTTGATCCCTCCTCCATTCTCTGAGGATTTTATTCAAAAGTTTTCATTTCCTTTATCCAAATAATCTCCCAGTTACACTGAGGTTTTTGGAGGCAGCTGTGCCTTGCTCACCCAGGCTCCATCCCTAACAGTTTTGGTGCAGAGTCGATGCTCAGTAAATGTTTGTTGGACTTATAGGATGGGGGAGAGCAGCTGAGGGACTGAGACAGAGCAGGAGCACCAACGGTCCAGTGTCAGACATTTCCTGTGGCTAAGTAGCAAGTCTCTGGGCTCTCTGTGCCCTAACTGCACATTCAAAGACTGTACACTAAGGTCCCTTCTAGTTCTAGAAATCTCACCTGTGCAGAGAAAATTCTGAAATGGCAAAGTAAGGACCTCCAAAAAGCCACTCTTCCACAAAAGCATCTAGAAAACTAACAAAAGTTGTCAAAATCCATATTCCCAGAACTCTGAAAAGTAATCAACGTCTTGCCACAATCTGAGCATTTGTTTAAGGTGGAAAAACAATAAAAGAGCTGGATCTCAGTAAGAACGGCAAGCTCTGTGGCATTTAACTTACCCTAGTCCCATTCTCTTCTCCCCAGCTCTGCAGTCTCCTTAAAAAGCAGCAGCTTCGCAACCACGGAGCTGATAAAACCAAGTGCCAAGGAACCACTGGAGGGGGCAGGATGGGTTTGGAGCACCCCAAAGGCCCGTGCCCAGACAGCTGTCACCATTTGACCTGTCTGGCAGTTCACCGAAAAGCCCCATTCTCAGGGCTTGTCTTTATTTGTCCTGACTCAAAGTGGAGTCTGTGTGAAAAAAGTGAGTATTTGTTGAAAAAAAAAAAAAAAAAGGGTAACAATTGTGCAACACTGTGATAACCAGGGTGGGGATACCAGTTGGTGCTAACAAGAGGATTACAAGGGAAAACTGGGGAAGGAGAAGTCCATGGAAGCTTCCAATGGCTCTGACACATCTCTGGGAATCTAAAAGGCCAAGCACATGCAAGGACTCTGTGCATGGCCAGGAAGGATCTGAGAAGGCCTTAATCTCTCATTCTGGCTGACCTTGAGTCTCTGCATGAGCAGCAAATTAAATCTAAGAATTGTGAACTACCTGCTAGCATGACTAAGATGTAACCTGCCTCATAGGCAGAGCCGCGAGAGCCTTACTGGTTTCAAGGCATTTAAGGAACCCTCTGTCTGAACCTGAGCTGAACACGGTACTAACAGCAGAACATCCAGTCACTGCAGGTGATGGAGAACAGAAATTTTACAGAATCCGTCCCAGAAAGTCACCAAACAAGAGGCAACACAAACTACAACAGTAATAATAACAGACCTACAACAGTAATAACCACCACCTCAGGGTGGTTCTTGATTTCCAGAATTTCCACATTGTATCATTTAATAGGTCAAATTTTTAACAAACCAATTATACACCACATAAAGAAATAGCAAACTATGTTCGGCACACAGGACACAAAGTGAACAACAGAAACTCCTTGATGACACCTAGGCACTGGATTTATGAAACAAAAAAACTTAGGATAAACTATTCTTAACAACTTAAAATATTAATAAATTCTAATTAATACTATTTCAATTTAAAAGCCTTTAATAGGAGATATTTTTGAATATATTTATAGTGTAGAACTTATTTTTATATGTAAGTACTCATTGTGAAGAAAATCACTACAGTCAAGCTGTGTAACTTATCCATCATCTCTGTAGTTAACTTTGTGTGGGGGGGACGGTGGGCAGGGAGTTAGGAGCTATCCTTTCAGAAATTTCAAGTATGAAATGCAGCATTGTTAACTGTCAACATCACGACGTATATTAGATCTCCAGAACTTACTCATCACACATAACTGAACCTTTGTACTCTTTAATGAACACCACCCCATTTCCCCCATCCTCCAGTCTCTGGGCAACCACAGTTTTACTCCCTGTTTTTATGAGTTCGGTTTCAGATTTCACACTTAAGTGACATCATGCAGCATTTGTCTTTCACTGTCTAATTTCACGTAGCACAATGTCCTCCAGGTTCACCCTTGTTGCCAACAGCAGTGTTTCCTTCTTTTTTCAAGGTTGAAAAATACTCCTGATTTCTTCTGGTTGCCATAGGAAAGGACTGTCTCCCATTTCTATTAGCACTTTACTTTCTAGCCTGCTTTATTCTTTCTTACGGATAGCACATAGTCCTGAGTTTTTTTTTTAACCCATTCAGCTGCTCTGTACCTTTTGATTGATAAGTTTAATCAATTTTCATTTAAAACAACTATTGATACAGAAGAATTTATTATTACCCTTTTGTTAAACGATTTTATCATTCTTTTTGAAATTCTTCTCTCCTGCTGTCTTCCTTTGTGCATTTTTTTTTATTGATAGGCTTTGATTTTTTCCTCATTTTATGTAACTTCTGTACTTTTTCTATGGGACTTACATAAACTATCTTAACAGTCAATTTCAAGTGGATAATTTCACTTATAAACAATCCTGTATACTTTTACCTCTCTTTCCCCCTAACATGAAACGTTAGTGATGTCACAATTGACATCTATTTATATTGTGTGTCCATTAACCTCATTCACAGTAATTAATATTCTGTCGCTTATTCACCACTGTGAAGTAGTGTCACATTACATTTACCTTGGCCAATGACTTTCACGCTTCCTTACGCTCTTGTGCTGCGTTTTA